CCCCCTTTAAGCCCTGAACAGCCGCTCTCAGCCTTCTCTTCTCCAGGCTGAACAAGCCCAACTCTCCCAGCCTGGCCTCATAGCAGAGGGGCTCCAGCCCTCGGATCATTTTAGTAGCCCTCCTCTGGCCCCGCTCCAACAGGTCCATGTCCTTCTTGTGCTGAGGGCTCCAGAGCTGGACGCAGGGCTCCAGGGGAGGTCTCACCAGAGCAGAGCAGCACCACAGCACCACACAGGGACCACTGAAAGAGGAACATAAAACTAAGCATCTCCTCAGCATGATGAGGATTTCTTCATATGTGTTTTACGATGACCTCCTTGAGCCTTACTCCATGCCTGACCGGTGCATTCTGAGTGCAGGAGAAAGCACTGCGAGAGTCCCTGCTGCAACTGGACTAGCAAATGCAAACGAAAATGCAAAGCTCCCTGAACACAAACCACCACGTACCCTTCCTGTCCTCCACTCCACATGTTCCCTCTTTCTCTACAGCTCCACCCAGAGCAGCCTTTGCTCCCAGCACTGTGCTGGAGTCATGACCCTAACCTCAGCCTAACGACTTAACCCCCCTTTCGCTGTCAGGATGCCTCCCAGGCTGAGGGCAAGAGTTGTTCGAGGAATAGCTGCTTATTCCCCATCACCCTTCAGGGGATCCTTACGGCTTCGTCCCACTGCCTGCAAAAGCCCTCTGCCAGACTCCCTCGGTGACCGCTGCCGTGCCTTACGCCAACCTGTGCTCCTCCCCTTCCACTGGAATCTGAAAGATCCCTTTCTCCTCCTAATTCCCCCTTTGGCTTTGCCAGACTGGGGTTTAGTGACAGGCAGGTGCCCTGAGGTTCCACAACACCTGCCTGTGGCTAAACATTGCATTCTATTGCTACATGAGAATAATTACAGGACCCATTGCTACGTGAGAATACTTACAGGACCCAACATTTCTGCATTTGTCCTTCTTGTGGACTTCAACCTACGCAGTATGCATGCTCCATTTGTTCGGTGTTCGTAGACTATGTGCTGCTTTTGCTTGTCACAGTAGAAGCAGCAAACGTGTATTTCCCTAATTCTGCCTGATGTTTCAGCTGCCCCACGCTTTCTAAGGTAAGCATCCTTCCCACAAAGCAGTTGCAGCCTTGACACAGAACAAGTCCTTTTTTCCAACTGACTATTCCCAGCATGAGACTTGCTGAAAATATTCTGCCTATCCTGTGTCCAACAATTACTCGGGATTATGGTTTCTGTCTCCAGATAGAAGATCTCATTTGTTGTTTTCATATGCATTGCAAAGACAAAAAATGGCTCTCAGCTTTCAGGCTCCTGAAAAGAAGCTCATCTTTTATCCCAAGGCTCAACGACCAGAGCCTGATGATGCCATAGACATAAATACCAGATATATCTGAAAACAGCTCTTGGACACTGCTCCACCGTGAGCAACAGCCTCAGGGAAAGCACCCCATTACTTACAGCAAATTTACAGGGCAACCCAAGACCTACACTGAGTGCTGCCAATGGGAAGAGGGTAGGAAGAGCACAAAGATTAGATGCAGAAGCACTCCGATCCCCAGCACAGTCACCAACAAGCTTCTCACTAGAGACCACCCGTAAGAAGCCGCAGATAGAAAGTAGAGCCTGTGTATTCCCAGCTAAACAACTATGTCAAAATAAAGATTCTGAGGAAATCAAAAAACTGCAGAAGATGGTGAAAAATGGCAATCAGCAGAGAAAAAGGCATCTTACAGACTTTCCCTGATCACTCGTGACTGGCGAAGTGGCTGATGATGATCCTTGCTTTCGCAGGCTAGGCTGAGATGGCCTTTGTGCCAAGCAAGAGGAAAAAGGACACCAAACCCACGATGCAAGGAAGTAACCAACAACAGGCTGGATCCTTACCAGCGGCCAGAGGTGAATCTGGTAGCCTTTGCTTTTAGCTATTAATTGTGCCGAGCCCTGTGACCAGGTTCTCAGGTGATGCCAGTATCAAGGGAGTTATATCTGCTCATACTAGCCAAAGGGCTGGCCGCTAGCAAGTTATAGACGTATCGCACGTAATTTACACCATTTTTATTTAAACCCTATGAAAATAGAAGCCCATCCCTTTGCTTCTAAAAATAACTCAAGACAGACATTATTGATATTGGCTGACAAACAGTGAAATGAAAATATTTTATAGTAACTTCTAAAGCGTTTTGTGGAAAACATGAAGAAAAATACAAGCAATCCATTAGCAAGCAGTTCCTCCAAAAAGAAACCATGACTTTTTTATGGAGAGATAATTTGGCTGAAATGCCACAAATCTTCCAATGACAAACCCAACGGCATTGTTTTTCTGACACATTCACTGTCGAACTCAGCTCTGTGCATTGGCAGGAAAAATATATTCATTTGTTTCAAATGAAAACCTTTTTAATGCAGATGTAATCTTTAGGGCAGTGCTTGTCTTTAGAAAGATTATTAGGTCAGTTAGCTTTCTTAAATGAAAATTTCAGCCAGATTGAAGCCCTGGATTCTACAAAAATCAGTCAACTACTATTCTGTTAAACCTTCCTTTACATGGAAAAGGGAAAATGGAAGTTCTGTGTTCTAAGCCCCGCTTTTTTTTTTCCTTTTGGTAGCAAATGACACAAAGCAGACTGCATCTCCCTGCCAGCGCGCTTATCCCCATGTGCACTGAAAGCAGAGCTGAGATTAGATAGGGGCTGCTTATACAGACACCGCCAACACACAATTCCCAAAGAAATTAATGAGCCGAATTCAAAATTGTCTCAAGAAATGTAATTTACTGGCTGCACCCGCTGTGAAGACAATCTCTGTGTGGGCTCTCTGGGAGGGAATCATACTGTTGAATTTCATGCTGCTCGTTTACGTGACAAGTTAGAAGGCTCTTTCCCCAAGGGCTCTCCCCCCCTCCCCACCACAGGTACCTTCTGGACAGAGGGAGGCTCTTTCACAGGGCAACGTGGAACTGAGTTTGGACGCACAAACTCAGCCTCTGAAATATCCGCTCCTCTCTGCTGCTCAGGTCTGCAAGCCAAGCCGCTCTGCCTGTTCTCTCCTAAGAGCTCAAGTCCCAACAAGCATCTAATCCCACCTCTGATAAACAAGTGAAAAGGCCCTTGCCTGAAATTTATGCAATCAGGCAATGGGAATAACCCTCTCCATCCCTGTCTCTCCTTACCTCTTTAACAGTTAACCACCTAAGGCTGCAAAACACGCGAACAAATGAAGACTAAGGGGACTCAGGCTTAAATAATACATGTCGAAAGATTCAAAGAAATGAAGGTTCATCTTTAATACTGGGAGATTCCATAATTAGACAGAAAAGAAGATAAAAGGCTCCCACCCCCTGGGTTTCTGTATAAAGATTAGAGAGGGAGAGACAGGTACGTGTTCAGACTAATGGAAGAATACCTTACCGACACTTCAATCACTGCAGGCTATTTCATGTGTCCGTGTCTCACGATAAATGGGACTGTTTAAAACTGGCTAATTTCTTAGCAATCCAGGCAAGGACGGAAGTGATAAAAGAGCCAAAAGCTCTCGCAGGAGGTATGAATGAGCAGCTAAACATTAAAAGTAGATAAATAAATATTTACATTCCCATATCAAAGAGTAACAAGAGCAGCACTGTAACACACCTCGCTAAGGCAGAGGAGCGAGATCAGCCTCCCTGGTGGAAGAGACCAGTAGCTGGAGGGGTGGTACTGCTTTGCGGTACAACCTTTTCGTAAAATGCATTTGGGCTAGGAAAGAGAGTTGAGTGGTGCTACTTTTCTGCATGTCTTTTAATTTGCCCGATGCTTATGCATAATGCATTAACCCTGCCTTTGAGCTACTTTCAAACAGTTTGTTCAAAAAATTTATCCGAGTCGCTACTGACAGTTCCTCTTCTAGAGGAAGACAGAATATGTTAAGTTTTCGCCTGGTCTGGTGCTGTGATGACAAAAGGAGATGGTGACCAAAGGGCCAGGCGCAGGTCTCTGCTGGAGAGTCCCCCCCATTGCAACTGCCCCACCATCCTGCCAGGAGCAAGCCTAATCCCTGCTCCATGAACCAGGGCAGCTGGAAATTATTCACCTCGGAAAAAAGCTCATTTCAGTTGGTCATGAGACATTGCCGAGGCAGCGTTCTCCATCATGGAGGTTTTGTGCCCTGGCTTGTTTGAACTGGTTGTTTAGGACGGGGGTTTTTTGTTTGTTTTGGTTTTAATTTAAGGAGGAAATTCAAGGCAGGAGTCCAGGGATTAGCACTGATAAAGCTGCAGTTTGTAACAACGCTAGGGCTTTTACTGTTAGAACCCTTCAGTGCCAAGTACTACACGAAGCAGAAATTGAAAGCAAGTCCCCCCTCAAAGAGTTTGCAATCTACTTCCTTTATTCCAAAGCAAACTGAACCAGGTGTGTGAGCCCGCTGGGAAATTCAGGAACTGTGGGCACATGGTTCACTGTGGACTGCACCTGCCTTCATAGGTGGAGTGCAACAAAGACATAAAACAAATGCTTGTAAAACAAGAGAGAACCTTTGCTCCACTTCAGTCAAAAGGGTTTTGTTGCCAAGGTGGACGTTTTTACTCATGTGATCACAGGATGTACTATAATAAATAACAATAGAAGAGCAGTCCAAAGAGTAGATGGCTCCAGCCTTGCCATCCGCTTGCTTCCTGCTCCCTCCTTCCAATAGGAACAGAACCAGGACAGAGTGGACTTGTTCTTCTAATCACAGGCTTTAATGTTGCCAAAAGTTTTGTGCGTAGCCAAGTTGAAGAGAAACCAATGTATAGTTTCTCAGCCCCTGGAAGTACTAAGCCTATGTATGTTTTTTATAGGGTTGGAGCCAGTGATTTGGGTAACAACATCCCAAACGTTAGCTCTATAAGCAGCCATGGGCTGCTCTGGAAGCAAGTGCCAGACTCACAATTCCTATGAGTTACCAGCCAAGAAATCAGACCACAAACTGAACTTGCTAAGGCCAAGATAATGGACAATAAATCCAGCACTAGTTTCGAGGCTGATGACATCATTACATCAGATACTACTCTGAAACCATATGTTTTGCCCTTTTGAAGTCCTTTACCAGCAACCATATTCAAAATAAAACTTCCCATTACTGGCCATTGTTTCATTCATATCCAAATGTGATTCAAATTCCAAACCAATAATGTCCTTCGTCTCCCTTATGTATTACAATGTCATCGATCTGTTTTGAGAGTATTTGAACAATGTGAAGGTTGATCAGATAGAAATTGCTCAGATACCGTATTTTTTTCCAACAGTACCACAGCCTATGACAGCCTAGTTGTATCAGGCAAGACCCTGAACAAGTTTTGCTACTTTAGTAAAAAAAAATAATAATTATGAAGCACAGTGTTAGTCCTCTTCACCTGTATCTCTGTCAGGGTGAGATGGTACTTGAGTTGCTTCAGATACTTTTGAAGTATCTTTATGCTTTAGAGCATGACTGGGGTCTGCACCAGAGAACTCCCTGTGCTGTACAAAGAACATCAGAGACCTGAAATATGGACAAAGTATGGGGGTGGTGGGGAGAAGTCATGGAGTCTCATTTTGCCTTGCAAAAGAAAAGCTTTTACTAGGTATTGTACAGAGAAACCTCTTGACAGAGGAAGATCTGGAGGTGTAGTTTATCATTCCTAGAAAGCCAGGAAGCTGAAGTTCTTCACAACCGCTAAAGCTAGATACAAGCTCTGCCGTTCTCCTCCACAAATAACCCAGCAGCACTTACTGGTTAGGCAGATCCCATTGACTTTGTACTGAAAAAAAATTGTTATCCCCTACAAATTCACCAGCTTTTGAGCCCTGGGATCTGAGAATAAGTAACAGAACCATCGCAAGCCTAATGTGATTAGTTACCAACATGAAGCAGGGGGTTCCCATTCCCACCCCTTCAGTCATTGTCACCACAGTTCACGTGTGCCCTTCCACTTTGTGGCTGCCTGTCGGAGGGACCTCAGAGCTGTCACGTCCTGGGCTTGTCAAAATTTCTATAGGCCTTAACAGTTGAAAGAACTCTGTTTCGATGTATAGGGTATGGCTAGCACTTCTTAGGAGGCTCTTCTTGCCGTTCTCCCTTTGTACCTCCATGCCTCTCTAGACCTTGCAGTCTGTCAGACTCTCCCACAGCCACCCCCAGCTTTCCACCTGGATAGCTGCAATGGTTTGTACTCAGCTTGGATCCACCTAGACATACCTGAGAAAGTCCTGTGAAGCAGGAACTGCCAAGTAAAAGAACACCATTTAGCATTGACAGACTAGGGCTGACTGGAATGTTCCCTTCTACTACATACTTTATGGTATTTCCTCTGATTTTACATTAATATAGCAAGGTAGCTGCTACCAGCTTACATCAGCAATAGTTTCTCAATTTTTTTAAGACAAGGCCCCTAGCGATGGCTATAAAACCAATGCAAGCAGTCCCTTACCTTACAGTGTTTTCTTCTGTAAGAGCTGTCTTTCTAGACGTGGATTTTGTGGAGAAGATCCCAGATGATCTGAAGTTTCTCAATTTCCAATTTTACAGCTGTTTCTACCAACTCTGAAGTGGAGCATGACAAAGCCAAGCCTAATGAGAATAGAACACAGGGTAAGGCACGCCCTCAAGAAAAACAGCCAGAAGAAGAGATACCAAACGTACCAATGGGACCAGGACCGTATTTTTATATCAGTGGATCTAATGGAGCTGGGCTGTAAGTAGGTCCTCTCAGCAGACTCATATGAACAGTGGTATGACCAGATATGAAGTCTTGCATTGTTATCCGTTATCGATGGCCCTCAAATAATCTTCCTTTGATTTGCTGTCTTTTTGGAGTGGTACAGCTAGGGAACCATTTAAAGATAATTCAAACAGAAAGGATCCACTGGAAAGCCACCTGTGGTAAAGTAGCTAACTATTATATCATTGGAAAGAAATGAAATACTTCTGTTTGTTTAATGGAAGTTTCTCTCTTAGGGCTGTTCAGAAATCACTTAGCTACCCCATGTAGCAAATCTGCTAGCGTCATCACTAGAGCTATGAACCACTGTCTGTTGTGCTAAATGTAAAACAAGTGAAAAATGAGAGATTTCTGCCCAAGAAAAACTGTCAGATCAGAAGGTCCATGCATTCCTTTCTGAGTTCTCGCCAGCCTATTGGCCGCCTTCCCTAGATATTGTCACCAGCAAGCACCACAGAATCTCTGCTGCAAACAGCACTTTTTCCTTGCTATGTTTCCATAGTCTTGTCTACAAACAGCTTTTTGTATCGCTGCTTGTCATCTCTTCCTAAACTCCTCAGCAGAGGGGCTCCTTAATAATTCTGGACCCTGACCATTTCTATTCCATGGGTATCAGTTGCATTCTAATTGGAGAAACTCTGCTTAGATGGTACAAGTTCTCGTTAGAGCTGCTGAGTCACAATGTTCTTAGCATCTTCAATTACTCCTCCCACCCTCTCAAGTTCAGACCAGCAGGTCCACCAGCAGCCATTCCAATTAATGCTTCCCAACTTATCACCCACCCAGGGGCTTCCGGGCACGTTCAGTCAGGCTCCCAGAGAAAATTATTAGGAGTTGAAGGGATATGAGGGAACGAAGTATTTGTTAACAGAAGGGAGGCTACTTTCCTGTTTTGTTTTCCATATGCAGTGTGAGCATCTATTGCCAGAGCAGAGGCTGGCAGCGTATCTATGACAACAGAAGAGAGGATTATGCACTGAAATGGTGTGAAATCAAGTGCCGAGAGACCTATTACCATTTCAAAGAAGGTAGAGGTGCCTGTGGGTCTTAAGTGGGAGAGGGTAGTGGGAAAAACTTGAGAATGCTGGACTTGTGACTCCCAGGGCAGAGGAGGTCACCTGGGGGGAGGAGAAATGGGTAACCTCCGCTTCTTGGCAGCCCGCAGAGGGACATCAGAGCTGGATTGCCATGGTGCTTAAAGAAAGGGGGTTAGACAAGAAAACAGCTTTGTGAGAAAAGATACCATTGAAATGAACTCAGTATAGTGGAATGAGCGGTGGAGTGATTTAAACACAAGCCATCACAGTCACTTTTGAAATGCAGTCCTCCCTCCTTGGATTTGAGCGCAGGCTGCAATAGGATGGGGCACAGGGACAGCACGCAGCCTAGGTATGGGGCACAGGGACAGCTCGCAGGCTAGGTAACGGGGCACAGGGACAGCACGCAGCCTAGGTACGGGGCACAGGGACAGCACGCAGCCTTGGTACGGGGCACAGGGACAGCACGCAGCCTAGGTACGGGGCACAGGGACAGCACGCAGCCTAGGTACGGGGCACAGGGACAGCACGCAGCCTAGGTACGGGGCACAGGGACAGCACGCAGCCTAGGTACGGGGCACAGGGACAGCACGCAGCCTAGGTACGGGGCACAGGGACAGCCAGGGGCAGCACCCAGCCTAGGGACGGGGCACAGGGACAGCACGCAGCCTAGGTATGGGGCACAGGGACAGCACGCAGCCTAGGTATGGGGCACAGGGACAGCTCACAGCCTAGGTACGGGGCACAGGGACAGCACGCAGCCTAGCCAGCATCTCTCAAGCACTAGTCTAAGCCTTGCCTATAGAAGGTGCCTCCCATTTAAGGACACTCCCCACAGGGGAGGTGGAGAGAGGAGAAAGGGAAGGAAGGGTGCACTTGAAGACAGAAGTAAAGTAAGCCCAAGATGGGTCACCCCGTACATCCCAGGCCCAGCTATCTCTACCTGGGAAGAACAGAATCACTAAAAGCCAAACTACTCCACTGTATCAGCAAGCAACTTTTTCAGTTGCACTCTGCCCTTCCTCTCATCGGCTCATCCTGACTTCACAGGGCCCAGCCAGCTTTCCCACCAGGAAAGCATAAAATCAAGGACTCCCACAGCCATGCTCCTGGCTGGCACCCTCAGAGCAGCACTTTGCATAACAAAGACAAAACTCCCTAAGCACAGCCCCTGGAGCAATTCTTTTACTTCTGGGAGCTGGAGAAGACCTGTGGCCTGGCAAGCCTGAGCATCGTGGCATGGAGCTGCAGGCTTTCCCGAGGCAGAGGAGCATGTTGTCTCTCCCATGAACAGCAGCCACCATTCCCCTCCTGCCAGCTCTGATGGCAGTTGTGGTGGCTATTTGCCAGGCTGCACCATTTAATATATGGCGGTGCGGACGGGCTATGTTTCAATGCAATTCTGCAGCTGGAATGGTGTGGGCACCTTTGGAGTGGGCAAGGGATGCACTATTTCATGAAACCCCATCAGGTCGGTCTGTTCCGCTGCAAGGTTGGACAGCACCAGGACAAGGGGCAATGGGCACAAACTGAAGCAGGAGAGGTTCCAGTTGAACGTGAGGAAGAACTTCTTGACTTTGAGGGTGCCCGAGCCCTGGCCCAGGCTGCCCAGGGGGGCTGTGGAGTCTCCTTCTCTGGAGATATCCAACCCCCGCGTGGATTATGTCCTGTGTCCCCTGCTCTGGGTGAGCCTGCTTGAGCAGGGGGGTGGGACTGGGTGAGCTCCCGAGGTCCCTTCCAACCCCTGCCGTTCTGGGATTCTGTGTGAAACACAGCTACAGCAAGGGATTTCACTGCTCTGTGAGCTGTCACAACTGCCTTACAGCAAATTGGTGGAAGTCAGCAGTGACAAAACCAGCTTTATCCTGAAGGTTCTGCTGCAGGGGATAATGAGGGCAAACTTTTTTTTTTTCCCTCTCATACAGGTGAACAGCTTCTCTATCAGATTCCCAACAACGGAATCCTCACCAGTAAGATAGGGCTTTTATGCTGCCTGAGAGAGCAAGAGCGGGTGATGAAAAAGATCACGAGGAGCTCTAATTCCAGGTAAGAACTCTCACCTCTTTGAACCTTGACCAGAAACAGGCCAACAGAAAGCGAGAGCACGTAAACAAAGGACCAGTTTCTTCTGGATGCATAACAGTACAGGATACAAAGTATATGAGGTTTTATTTCCTTCTTATCTTCTAGAAAAACCACTTTTTTTTTTTTTACAGAAGTACACACATCAGAGACAGAATCTCTTCTGTGTCTGGCACTGTAGGAGTGCCAGGTCCCGCAAAGACAACAGTCATAGTATAATTCCCCTGGTTTGGGTACACTGTCCTACTGGAAAGGCTGCCACTTCTTGTGCCATAGACACTCTAAATGTAAGAGAAGCTTATTGCCATCTCTGCTCCTATATTTTTGACCTACCAAAAACCCAAATGGCAATCCTGTACAATGATTACCTGCAGCCATCTCAACGAGTTTTCAAAAAACTGAGCATATGAAGAATGTCTTAAGGCTAACGTACCTTCTCGAAAGCTTATGGAATGAGGTAGCTCAGCAAAAACATACAGCAAGCACACAACTGTCTACAAGCGGGAAAAAAAGCCATTTCTGAGGTTTCTACTTGCAACCATCCTTTCTGAAAGTAACAGGGATGAACACATTGGATAGGGTTTTCAACTTGTATTTGGTTCTCCCTCAGGTTACTGAAGATGGAAGAATTCTTCCCAGAATCTTTTCGCCTGGACTTAAAAGATGAGCGAAATGCCTTTTTTGAGCTTTGCAAAGGTGAATGGTCTTAATCATGGTGGCAACCAATTTAAATAGCTATGTGCTCCTCTAAAATGTTTATAAAAGTATACACGGTAATACTAATTGATATCTATATGCGTATAGATACACACACGTTCAAGGGAGCAGTTTTCAGAGCTCACTAATGGGCACATCGGTGTTTCATACCCCACACGTTACTGTAATAGACTCATTCTCTCTGCAGAAGAAGAGATCTGGATCTGCAAACCAAGTTGCTCTAACCAAGGCCGAGGAATTTTCCTGCTTAAAAATCCAGCTGCTGTCAACACCCTTCAAGACAAGCTCCACAGCACTGGGGAACACCTACGCAGTAAGAGGGTGCCATACAAAGCTCCCCAGGCAAGAATAGTACAAAGGTAGAGACCGAAGGCTGGGAATTAATGTGTGAGTAGTGTGCTCGATGAAGCACACCGGCCTCAGAGAGCTGAATTGTTCCATAGGTATTTAACGTGGTTACAGCACATCTCACCAACCTGAGAGATTTCATTCTGTGGGAGAGAGGCCGTTTCTCTGGTTAGTCTGTCTTGCATCGGCGCTTCGGTCATTTCAAGGCAGATCTTTTGTCATCAGAAAGATTTGCATTTACCTTTGAATGACTTCAAAAGGCCAGATGCTGCAGTTCTGTACATGAATGCTGTGCAGAAAGCCTTCTGCAAAGCAATTTGAATTAGCTATTATCCCAGCTTCTTACACAAAGCTCGCATTTTACAAATTGTGCAGCTACAATATCCATTCCACACAATCTAATAAAGCCCCCCAAATATCTTCTTAACTCTGCCTCAATGCTGCAGAAGTCTCTACCTCAATCGACAGGCAGTGGCTAGCAATCACTAAAATTTTGGGTTAAGGTTGTTTTATTCCTTGCATAAATAAAAGAACCATGAAGGTTCTTCTTTGTATCATAGAATAGAATCATAGAATGTCCAGGGTTGGAAGGGACCACCAGTGGTCATCTAGTCCAATCCCCCTGCAGTGAGCAGGGACACTGCCAACTAGATCAGATTGCTCAGAGCCCCATCCAACCTGGCCTTGAATGTTTCCAGGGATGGGGCCTCCACCACCTATTTGAATTAGCTATTATCCCAGCTTCTTACACAAAGCTTGCATTTTACAAATTGTGCAGCTACAATATCCATTCCACACAATCTAATAAAGCCCCCCAAATATCTTCTTAACTCTGCCTCAATGCTGCAGAAGCCTCTACCTCAATCGACAGGCAGTGGCTAGCAATCACTAAAATTTTGGGTTAAGGTTGTTTTATTCCTTGCATAAATAAAAGAACTATGAAGGTTCTTCTTTGTAGAATAGATACCCTCTCAGCCACCGCTCAAATGTTCTGTAGAGTAGCAGAACAGCAGAAAAAAGGAAGGGAGATACCCTCTCAGCCACCGCTCAAATGTTTTGTAGAGTAGCAGAACAGCAGAAAAAAGGAAGGGAAAAATAAAGCAGCAGAAGTCATGAGAACAGTTTCAGCCACCGAACGTTGCTTGCTTACTCTTAAGCAACTCACTCGACTTCCCTTTGCCTCAGTGTCCCTCCCTCAATTGAGGAATGCATTGTAATTAAATCACTTCACTGCTTTGAGATGAGTGAATAACTTTCAAAGAGCAATGCAAAAAAGATGTTTTCATTATTTATCCTAGGAGCTGCAGTTCCCAGCTGCCTTTGATGCTGCCTTTGGGGTGTACAGCTGGGCATACAGGGCACTCGAAACTTCAAGGTGCCCATACACGCATGATGTTGCCTGGCATTGTCGTGACATGCCAGCAATGACAATGTGATACGCTCGTGACAACGCTGTGGTATCGGCATGGCAAAAGCAAATTCGGCCACATAGTGATCACTGCATGTCCTGGCAAAGTGATGACACCAATTCCTTACACTGACCCTGTGCCCCTTCCCTGACATTCTGCTATCCTGGCTTGGCATCTTTATCTTGCAAGAGCACACAGCGCACAGCAACCTTTCCAAGGCAATATTCCCTGCTTCCCTTCAGCCAAACACTTCTTTTCATAACAAAGGGAGTGGTTGGCCTCATTGAAAAGGGTGAGAGAGATCTGTAAAGTGGTAAACTGGAATAATGATCTTAGAGGCTTTCTGCAACAGGCTGGTCTGTGTTTATGCAGCAGCCAGTGTGCGGAGCAAAAGGACGACTGCCTGACAGAATGAGACCAAGAGCCTTAGTTAGACCAATATGTGGTCTTTGGCATGGACGAGCAGCAGTGCCAGGGGAAGAAGAGGTTGGACCCTATCTTAGATCTCATCTTGATTTCTATTAGCGAGGAATGGCTTATGCTCTGAAGAATGACGCCCCGTATTCCTTTGAAAACTGTTGTTAGCATTGATTATTTTAACAGCATATCCTTGTTATTTATGTAGACATCCAGTAACCTTTGATGATAAAGGGAAACAATTCCCAGATTACATCACTCTGGCAATAAAAACAATGGTGCTGTATGAAGGGCTCTTTGTGTTCAGACATAAACTTCGTATATTTTCCAGTAAATATTAGTAAATCTTTAATTATCTCCCAGTCCCGAGACTCAGCACAGCTTCGATTCCTCTTGAAAGGAGCTGTTCTTGGCATTTCTACCCTCTCCTACAAGCGCCCTCTGCTGCCACCCACCTTAAAACCAGTGCTGAAAATGGGACAAACTGGTTGGTTCTGTGGTGTGAAATGAACCGGCTGCGGGGTTTTTGTGGGAGCTTTGAATTGCCATGTGTTACGGCTAGTTGTTGGTGACGCGTGTTGAAATCCTGCTCCGACAGGTATATTCACCAGCCTCTGCTCCTGGAAGGGAAGAAGTTTGATGTCCGGTCTTACCTCCTCATTGCCTGCACAGCACCATACGTGTTATTTTTTGCCCAGGGTTACGTCCGGTTGACCTGTGTCAATTATGATGCCGCTTCCGATGATCTGACTGTTCATCTAACCAATCAGGTAAACTAAGGGCGCTTAGTTCAGAAGAAGGGGAGGGTGTGGTTGACAGAGATGGGGAGCAAAAAAGACTCTTGAAAGGCAAAAAATAAATGCCTTGTGCATGCAAAATCCATGCACCCAGGAAACGGACGTGGGCTTATGGTCAGGCGAGGCAACAAGGCTGAACAGAAGCTGTACCGGGTAAGGTTCTGTTCTCTGCCATGGACTAGTTCTCTGCTTTAACCTGACAATTCCTTTCCCTGGACCTCTTTTCCCTGCCGTTATTCTCTCATGTATCTGTAGACCATTAAGCTTCTTAGGGCAAGAAGCCTTTGATTGCAGCTACCTAGCACAAAGGAGCCTTAATCTTGGCTAAGGATTTTGCTGATCCTGTTGTGCTTAAACACAGCAATCATAACGATGTAAGATGCAGGTGTGTTCTTCAAGAGCCATCAGTTTTAAACCTCCATCTTGGCTTGTCTTGCTTCTCAAATGAGAGCTGTAACAGAACAAGACTGTTCTGGCTTGTGCCCCCCTACATCTCTTGTCGTGGAAAATAGAAGCCTGCCTTGCTCAGATCTACCTGTGGTTTTGCTTCAAATGAGGCCCTTCAGTAGTTCCAGCTGGCCCTGATGAAAGAGAATTAAAAGAATCAGAAGGAAGAAAAAAGCTTGCTTTTAAAGCCCTTGTCTCCTCCCAGTGTCATGCTGTGTTCCGAGAACCAGCAAAATACGCATTAGAGAGGTATCAGACAAGCCCCCTTCAGTTGGAGTTTTACAGTTCCTGTGAAAGTGCAGTTCAGGACAGCACATTATAGCTGCTCCCTGCAATATATGCTATTATCAGCATGCCGCTGATTTTCCTGGAATAGTTTGCTTGCTCAGCTATCCACACGGGAATTCAGGTGCTCGGATAGGATCCTATGGCACAAGCACTATTAAACAAAAGCCAGGTGTTTATTAGCAGAGCATAAATTATCTGCGTTCCTGCTGGGAGGAGGGAAACTTATGGGAGCGGCTGGTAATAGGCCAGACTTCTTTAAATTACAGCTGAGTCTGCTCTCATTCCCTTCCTACCCTTTCATCCCACCTGGAATCAGCCATTTTCCTCCTGTATTTCCAAAAGACAAGAGGCAGCAGAGACAGCATCACTAACCAGAAGCTTTGCAACCTCACCGTTACTGTACCACAGGTGGAGTTGCAGCCAAGCCCTGCTGTTTCGCAGGGAAAGGGGACTTGCCTTCGACGGAACAATGTCAATTATTGATAAACTCCAGCCGACGTAGGGATCAATGAGACAGTGGGAGAGAGAAGCCCTCACCTTGGCTTCCTCTGGGGATACATCTATACATCTCTCCTAGATGTGCTGTCCTAGAGGCAGACAGACACTGGAACTGGATTTAGCCCAAAGAATATCATGACTGTGACTTGAAAGCACCTCTGCCTGTCTGCCAGTTGGTCCAGACATATCACACACAAAAAACCAACCCCATTGCTTTGACAGAGTCCATGGGTAATTAATTGTCTCTACAATGTCCATGCGGGTCAGGCACATTTCTGCCTGTGGCGGTGTTGTGCAATGGGAGTCAGCACATCTGCTCCAGTGTAGCTCTGCTAGTGAGGGGCTCCATTCCCTCCACCTCTATAACTTGATCCTGGGGTTCTTCCCAACTCCACATGCCTGGAACAACTCAGGGTAGCTGGATGTCTGCCACACAAGCCGGTTCCCCGTTAATCTTCGCTGCCAGAAATCTAATCCTCCCTTTGCTCTGTTTCCCCACCTCTCAGTACATGCAGAAGAAGAATTCCCTGTACGACCAGTTGAAAGATGAGACAGTTTGGCGGATGGAGCACCTCAACAGCTACATTAATGAGAAGTTCAGAAAAACCAATGGCCTCCCCAAAGACTGGGTTTTCACTGTGTTTACTGTAAGTGCAAGCAAGTGTATGGTCTGCCTAATTAGTGTGACAGAAATAGGGAGAAAACCCGTCAGTTCACCGGAGCCCCCAAGGAAACACATACACTGAGAGGTATTGATGGCCCCATGGTAACCATTTATCTGCAGGTGCCAAACACAGAAGTGAAGACGCAAAGAGTTTAGTATTAATAAAACGGGTAAACTGCTGAGAAAGAGAATGTAAACACCAGTTATAAAAATGCAATTATGGTCTTCACGCTCATGACCTAATGCTGTGGTCCTGCATTAAAAAATAAAATACATGTTAGAGAGCTCTCTGGCCTGACAGGTCTTAGCCTGACAAGGGGCTACACTTTCAGTGGTCTCTTTCCTGTCCGATTTGGTCTCGCCCTTCACTTTCCATGTGAAAATCATGTCAGGACCTTAGATCTTCTCTTATCACGGAGGAGAAATAAGAAGACTCAACTGGCTTGATTTCTTACCACCTTCTTGTCTCACTGAAGAAAGAAAGTGAAGAAAATATCTGAGTCCCTGAGACTTCATTTCATCAGCCTGAGTCTAATGATGCATCAGTTCTTTACATGACTTGTGAGGGTGAAAATGAAGAGAGTAGAGGACACAGCTTTTTCGGGTTAATTTTGGAAATGCTGTAGTTTAAAGCCAAACACAAAGAAAATCAAAAAGCTAAAAACGTTGTTAAATATGTGGTTCTGTTTAGAAAAACCGCTCAGAAGCAAATCTAGTTGAATTTGCCAAGCTTCTCAGGAGATCAGAAACTTTTCAGCCAACTTTACGGTATCTCTCTTCATGCAGAAACTCCCCACTGTGCATTTCAACTCCAAATTGAATGAAACTTAGCATCACCTACTGCAAGTTGCTGTAGCTCACCAGCCTTCTTCAAAACACTATGTCCAGCACAGCTGTGAGGGGGTTGTGGGTCATCACTGTCAGAAATGGCCATGTTGAGCTCACATCTGGTACCCCCACAGGAGTAAATGAAAGAACACCACTAAAAATTCTGCAGACAGCTCACTCTGAGTAAGGGCCAAGGGCCAAGATTCCTTCACACACCACCGCAGCAGTCTGGAGAACCAAGTTCAAGAGGGGGTTTCAATCAACTCAAAATGGACAGACATATGGTCTGCAAAACTCAACATCCTTTCAAGTCTAGAGAGGAGCTCTGCTGGAGGCAGGGGAAGGAAAAACGTCCCTAAACCAAGAGGGCCCCTATGACTTACAGAGACTCCTATGCCCCTGGCATTCGCAATGACCAGTCACCACCGTTCCCTGTCTTCTGTTTCAGAAAAGGATGCAGCAGATCATGTTGCAGTGCTTCCTGGCAGCCAAGCACAAACTGGATCACAAACTGGGCTACTTTGATCTCATCGGCTGTGACTTTTTAATTGATGAAAACTTTAAGGTACGAAATGCAACACTGTCAAATAATAAGCATGATATTGGCCAGATGGCTAATGCCAGCAGAATAGCATGGTTGACTCAGGCTCTGGTGCTAGGGATTAAATTGAGCACTGGCCCAGGCTGCCCAGGAGGCTGTGGAGTCTCCTTCTCTGGAGATATTCAAAGCCCACCTGGACGATGTCCTGTGTAACATGCTCTAGGTGAACCTGCTTTAGCAGGGGGGTTGGACTGGGTAAGCTCCCGAGGTCCCTTCCAACCCTTGCCATTCTGGGATTCTGGGATTCAGGCAGTCGGCTACAAAATGCAGGATTCATTTTTTTCTCCAGTTCCATTGCCCAGCATCAAGACATGGCACCTGTATTGCCTGCACATTTACTGCACACAGAAACCCTGGCACTAACAGCTCAGGATGGGAAGAAAAGTACTTACTGCAGCTGAAACTGTTCTGTGCAGAATTTTCACAGGGAAGTGGAGTTCGTAGTGAAAAGTATGGGAATTTTAATGCCCGCTCAGTTTTTTCTTTCTCCAGAAACAAAACACGCCAGATGATCAGCTAGCATAAATTAGTGTGTAAGGCCTCTAAATTCACGGGGTATACTGATTTACACCAGCTGAGTACCCATCAAAGGCAACGAAGAACTCACCCTCACCATACTGACGAATCAGTCCTTATCAGTTCAGGTGTCACCATCGGCATCTCCATGGTCCATAGGCCCACCATTTAGCAATAGGTCAGCCTACTGAGTCTATAAAATCTGCTAGAGTTGCAGCTCAAACTTGTAAAGAGTGAATGAAACACAGACAAGAAAAGCCAGAAGAAAGGGAAAGGGAAATGTTAAATACAGTGATTGAGGTGCTCTCAGTGCAGCACAGTCCTGCAAGACCACCTGGCCTAAACATAACAGAAAGCCATCTGGCAGATTCTGCTATTGCTAAAGCAGAAAGGAACTCAAACATATTCCAGCAAAGGGCAGTGGGAACAGCAAACCCTATAAAAGAATGGAATTAATGTATGCAGCAGTGGGTAAGGCACCTGAACAATAGACTCCTTTGTAGAGGAAGTCAATGGCAAGGGAGAGTAAATGGCAAAGACACAGAAACTGGTGCTTCTCAAATTTCAGTGGGAATTGTCTTTTGCAACGTTGGCATGCAAAACCCTGGCTGTGTAAACTTTAAGTAGAATAGAAGATCCAGTATCACTCTATTGTGGCAATTCCTACTTGGCCAGTTAAAAACTTCAGTGTTTAAAGACCATTAGGTCCCCATATATTTTACATACGGACAGATAATCAAAACCTGTTTCTTGACAAATATTATCTATAAGAACGATGAGGGTTTCTGGACACTTAATGGTGACAGAACCTGGAACTTCCCTTTGAGAGAGAGTAATGTGGAAATTTAGGCATTGGTTTAGCATAGGTTTGTCCATGTTTTCTTGCCCCTGCTGGAGAGCAACAAACCTGCTTTTTTATTGGTGCACTGCTGCATCAGGAGACACCTGTACACTCCCTGGAGAGGCAGTGTACAACAGCTGGACACAGGACTGACAGCTTCAACCCACAGTTAACACTGGTCGGTGCAGCAAACTCCCAGTTTTCCGTGGGCTGACATTACAATTCTTGGTCTGACACCCTGTCCTCTCCACCTGGAATACACACCAGCCTTACTCTCCCTGGCATTCTGTTTCAAGACATGTAGAATCTGCTTTACACTGATTAACATGGTCTTCCATCTTCAGTCCTATAGCTCATCATGCCTTTCCTGCTTCCTTATTTGTCTGAGATAGAAATGCCCCCAAGCATCATTCCTAATAATTCTTGAAGGCCCTGCAGCATCCTGATTCAGTCTTTGGAAGGTGTTTTTCCTGCCTCAGAGTTCTTAGAAACACAGGCTATGAAAGCAGGGCCTGCTGAGAAACCACAGTTTTCTGTAGAGCTCTGCATATATATATATGTAAGCTGAGAAAAGAATGAATGACTTTAAGAGGCGAGGGAGCAAAAGTGACGGATGTGGTTTTGCTGCTGTTGGTTTTTTTTCTACTGTTTTCTGGAGTTTGTGCTGCACTGTAAATGCCTAAGTCACTACACAGCTTAGGACGGTGTTATCTGAATGCTCAAGGAACCTGCTTTCAGAAAGCATTGCATCAGCGGTGCAAAAGGGCTTCTCTCCAGAGGTATGCTGGGAAGACAGATGTGTAAATTTGTTATCAGCCATAAAGGGATTCAGCTATCTATCAGTTGAGAACAGACTGAACAGAGATAAGCCATTTGCCAATTTGCTATAGATGTACATAAATGAAGATAACGCTCAGATCCCTAGTTACAGCAGGGACGGTTCCTTTGATTTCAATGACATTGCTTTTCACTCACCCCGGGAGTATGAGGTACCACCTGGATACTGGAGACTTGGTTGTGCCCACCCCAGGTCACGATGATAAAAAAAAACGATAGAAGCTTGTAAATACTGTGGAAAAACATAACCCCAGCTGCCTTAGCCCGTGGTCTCCACTACTGCTAGGCGGGTCCTTTTCTGGGTCAGCACCATCCAAGCAGCCCTTCCAGAGCTTGGTTTGTGACTGTCCATGTGGCTTCAGCTATGTCCACACAGGACACAGATCAAGTTATTTTATTCCTATTTCTGACCGGTATTCCAGTGCTGCTTAAAGCTCCAGGCAGAAGTCAGGCTCCTTGGACACTGCTGCTACACAAATGCAGAACAAGGCAGCCCTACTGTGGATAACTTTGGGCTTTGAAGCATGTTACAAGCCATCCTCTCTAAGAACAAGTTCTGATGCACAGATGTACATACATTTCCATTCAGTCTTGGCTATCACACCACTTGGAGCCTCTGGGAACGTGGACTGATGCCCTCTCCCTCCCTGAGCCTCCAGCAGGATGTTTTGCTTCCACCTGGCGAGCTCCAGCAAAGACCCACACAATTAAATAAACTAAATGATTTTTTTCTTATTAGAAACAGAAAAAACCCTTTGGCTCAGTCATGCATTTCCTGCACGCCAGTCAGTCTTGCCTCTGCCCATGTTGGCAGGGAAGAGACCCTTGAGACAGGTCTTGGGCTGTGTGTTAGCCACTGTCACACGTGGCAGAGCCTAGTCTCATCATGCAACGCTCCTTTGAAAGGTGCTGAAGTGCTGCTGTATGGTTCTACAGCAGTGAGACTATGATAGTAATCAAACTAGAAAATAAAAAGTATTCAGCAGATGCTAACGCTGCATCTTAGCACTATACAGAGAACAAGAAATGAGACCTCAGATCATGGTGTAATGGAGGATCTGGCTGCAGTTGGCATGTTGTTCAAGAACCTATGGACAAATCCTACTATTTAAAGTTTTTAAGCCTACCTGTGATGTCTTGACAGAGCAAGTTTAAGATGTGACAGAACACGGAGTTGTACTGGCAGGCTGCAGGGAGCAGGAACCTCTTCGTCCCCGAGAAACATCCAGAGCAGCACTTCTGACCCCAGCCACAGGGCACTCATTATTGTCCTCATCACTTGAAAAGCCTAAAGAAAAAGGCCGGCCCATGGTTAGGAAGTCAAGGACAGACATCCTGGGTTTTGGTTTCCTTCCTTTGTCATATGTTCGCGAGGAAATTTTCAGCAAGGCACGTGCATGCCAGATGCAGGGAGAAGCACAGGAATTCCATTATTGATGGAACCTCCATCTGTAACCTCCGTGGAGGTTACAGATATTCACCCAGATATGGTGAATCTTGGCCTCATTCTCTCTGCTCTTCCTGAAATAGAACAAAGGGCATTTCTTAACTCGCCCTGGTTGCTGAGAGGTTAAGAGCATTTAAAAACTGTGAGACATTCAGGTAGTACAGTAATGGGGAGTGTAGAAGATGAACGGCATGATGGATGTCACAGGGAATTTTCTTACTCCTGTTTGAGAGCTTTGTTTGTTTTGAAGGAGAAGAAACCAAAACTTAATCAAGACAATTATGAAGGTTCATTGAGTTTGTCTGTCAGCGCAAAATCTTATAAACTTTTAATGGGAAAAAGAACACTTACTGGGAAGAATGAGTTTGCCAGGAAAAATGTATGTAACTTAGGTGCCCTCTGTTGGCATCTGCAAAGCAGGTTTTTTAAGCAGCTGTTCCAGTTCTCCTCTGGAAAAAAAAAAAAAAAAAAAGACATTTCACTGAACTCTCCAGTCTTTTCATTTGCTTAATAAAGTATTTCAAAGAAGTGAAAATTATTGTTGTATTTTATTCTCAGCAAAATAAAATGCTAAAGTAAAGGCTATCATGTCACCAAAATCTACTAAACGCTTCATTTCACAGGTACCTACAAGCAAATTCATGGCTGCTTCAGAAAAAAAAAATTAAAAAAACCATTTTTAATCAATTAAAAGGGAGTAAAATTCTCCTGGGCTCTTACATGATTAAATATCCTTCCTTACAAAACACTGGATGGTTCCTATGTGTGTTACATACAAGATGCAGCACCATATGGCGGAGGCAGGAACTGAACAGATGAGTTTCTCTCACTGTAGGGAAAAAAAAAATAGTAAACAGAATTACACACAAGTCAATTGTTCGCTTTCACACAGATCTGTAACTGGACCATCACATTCTGCGGCTTGTACCTTCAGACCTTGGCATTTCAAAGGCAAATGGAGAGGAAACTGGTGTAGATATGTAAAATCAGTATCTTACATGGCTTCTACACGAAACTAAAGCTTACCTGGGAAATCAAGGCCATGGGCTCATTGAAAGCTCAGTGCCATGTTTGCTTAAGTTTCCATCCCATGTCCACCTCAAATCAAAACGATTCCTAGATTCCTTATAGCTTTATTTCATGCTATCCAAAAAACTCAACTAGAATTTGTTATGGCAACTGGTATGTTAAGAAACACAGTGCCTTTATAGAGCAAGAGTCGATCTAAGGAGCATCAGATGGAGGCACAAAATAGTGTTGTTCTCGAGTATGTAAAGGTATGCAAAAAGGGATTTTGTTTAACTCATCCAGTCCTTATGCAAATTCTGTCCTGCCTGCACTCCGTGTTACGGGATTTTATTGGGATTTATTAGTACTCTTACCTCTCAAGGTGCTCACTAAGCCAGTAAAAGGGCATTGCTCTGACGCTAAGGAGACCCAGCCTAATTTCCTGACTGGCACTCATCTTTTCTAGGTCTGGCTTCTGGAGATGAATGCAAACCCAGCACTGCATACGAATTGCAAAGTCCTGAGAGACATCATCCCAACCGTAGTCTACGAGAGTCTTGGTAAGTGAACAAGTCACAGGGTGGCCAGCTCAGAAAATCATTTCACTCCATTGCTTGTCAGGGGAAAGACTCCTGTTCATGCCAGTTGTAGGCCCAAACCAGTCTTTGAATAAAGATATCTCATGCTGCTGAGTTTATCAGAAGGCGCTTAAAATTCTAATCCATGCAGGCCTAGAAAAGCTGTGGTCTTTTTAGCCATGCACCCATTAGAAATGGGGTTAATTCTTTTTTACGAATGGTTTCTTACGTATTTATGTACGAAAGGCTAAATCTAAATATATATATATAATATATAACAAATAAATAAATTTAAATAAATACATGACCCTATAAACTGCACCTGCACATTTTTCTCAGGCCCGTTGTTCTGAATTGTTTGTGCTGTCTGTTTGTACCTCACAAATATAGCTGACAACTGCTACACGAACTATACAAAGACTGAAAAAAATCCTTACGTAGTCTGATATAGATCAACTAGAACCGCTCCTGCCTGGAGGAGCAAAACCTCCTTCCCCCCTTTCCGTGATCTCACGGTGCATGTAAGGAGAAGCAATAAGGGGAGAGTCTATGCCTGCATGAAGGGTATTAGCAATAGCCTGCTTACGCTCACTTTCATAGATACGGTTACCTTCCTGTGCATATATACGTCTATTTTGGGGTGCATTCATATCCTGTATCGCATTGTAAGGAGTTTGACAACATTTTTCCTACCAATCTCCTGAAATATTTCCAGTGGAGCTGAAGCTGGCTGAAGTGAGCGCAAGAAAAGTGTGGGGGCTTTGGTTTGGTTTTTTTTGGTTTTTTTTTTTTTTTTTTTAAATTTTTTTAATGGAAACTGTCACAAG